TGCTCTGTGGTGAGTGTGGCTGGGTGTGCTCTGTGGTGAGTGTGGCCGGGCGTGCTCTGTGGTGAGGGTGTGGCTGGGTGTGCTGGCAAGGCTCCCGATGGGGCCTCCTGTGGTGACGGAGGGATGAGCAGGGCCCGCACTCCGCAGGATGACGTAGCGGGGAAGGGGATTCCACACAGAGGGGGTCACGTGCAGAGGAAGTGGAAGCACCAGGAGACGCTCTGGCTCCAGCAGCCGGGAGCTGGTTCAGAGAGGCCCTGGCGGTCCAGAGGGGTGGGAGCCACGCCCGGGCGCGCTGCTGAGCTGGGTCGGCCTCCCCCTCCCTCAGGCTGAGAGCCAGCGACATCATGGAGCCCAACCTGACCTACGTCTACCCGCACACCCGCATCCAGTCTCTGGTCAGCATCCTGCGCACCACGGTGCACCACGCCTTCCCGGTGGTCACGGAGAACCGGGGCAACGAGAAGGAGTTCATGAAGGGCAACCAGCTCATCAGTAACAACATCAAGTTCAAGGTAACGAGCCAGCCCGAGAGGCAAGGTGGGTGCGGGAGACCGGTGGCCTTCGGCGCTGACACTTGGTGCTCGCCGCTCCCTCCAGCTGGGGTCATACGGCGGGCTCCAGGGAAAGCTGGCACTGTGTTCACTCACTGGCACCGTGAGTGTGCATGCGCCGGGGAGGAGGGGCTGTCAGGTCCTAATGTGTGTTGGTTCTGCGGCAGAGCCGGGCTAGACCTGTGTTTTCCATCAGCAGATCTCATCGTTATCTGCTGAGTGCAGGCATCAGGGAGGGTTCTGGGAATGCCCGCAATAAACCCAGACTTTGACTGCTTCGGGAAGAGAAGCAAGTCAGCTGGGAGCTCTGGGACGGAAAGGAGCCGTACGTAGCCCATGTGTAGGGCCTGGCCACGCCCTCGCGTCCCAGAAGGAGCAGGCACCTGCTGTTCTCTGTCCTCGGGTCACCTGCGTGAAAGGCACCTGCCATTGCCTCCCGCCGCGGGCTTCAGGAGCCTGCACACTGACGGCCGTCCCGCAGAGACGGGGTGTGGGAGAGGGTTCGTTCCCCTGTGCGGAACTGAGGTGCTGTCCCCACGTCAGAAACGGGGACGTCGGCCTGCAGACGCCACGAACTTCACAGCTGCGTCCGAGGAGGGCTCTGATCAGCTCCTTGTTTGTTTATTATTTCTTCTTTAATTTGAGAGACAGAAAAACGTGCCATCTGCTGGTTCACTCCCCAGATGCCCACCATGGCCAGGGCTAGGCTGGGCCAGGCCGGTGCCAGGCGGTGGGGACTCCATCCCGGTCTCCCACATGGGTGCAGGAGCTAGAGCGAGGCTTGCACCAGGCACCCCGACGCGGCAGGGGGGTGTCCCGGCTGGCGCCTTGACCGCCAGGCCCCTCTGCCTGCCGAGCACCGGAGCCAGTGAGTTCCCTGCGCTTCCCGTGGCAGGACGTGCTGCCGGGCCCTGGAGCTCGGGAGGGGCTGCCGTGTCCACGCCCTCCCTGAGAAGCCTCTGCCACTGTCCCCCTGCCTCCCGCAGAAGTCCAGCATCCTCACGCGAGCCGGCGAGCAGCGCCGACGCAGCCAGTCCATGAAGTCCTACCCGTCGAGCGAGCTGCGCAACGTGTGTGACGAGCACGTGGCGTCCGAGGAGCCGGCCGAGAAGGAGGACCTGCTTCAGCAGATGCTGGAGCGGAGGTGGGCGCCCCGCGGGGAGCTCCGGAGCCTCCGGGGAGGCGGGCAGGCGGGGGCGTGGCCGAGAAGCGGTCCTGCGAGGTGTACGAGGCGCGTCTGGTTTCTGTGTAACAGATACACCCCCTACCCCAACCTGTACCCTGACCAGTCCCCAAGCGAGGACTGGACCATGGAGGAGCGCTTCCGCCCCCTGACCTTCCACGGCCTCATCCTGCGTTCGCAGCTCGTCACCCTGCTTGTGCGGGGGGTGTGTTACTCGGAGAGTCAGTCGGTGAGTCTCCGCCGGCCCTGGGAGGCGGGAGGGCGCAGGAGCAGGGTCCCCGTGCCTCGGGGCGGGAGCCGGTTCTGGGCGCCCGGGCGTCTGCGGGCTGCAGTCCTGCACTGCCGCCACTGCCATCAGGTGGCCGGCGAGGCCGAGCAGGAGCGCTCGGTCCTGAGCCGCTGGCCAGCTGTCTCCTCTGGCCCACAGGCTTTGAATCCAGTTTCTGCATCTTTATTTCCGCAGGCGTGAACTTTCTTACTTAGGTTGTCGAAAGAAACGCCGTTCTTCTGCCACTTCCACCCACTTCTCGTTTTTCTGTTTTGTTTTTGGTGGGCGGGCGGGGGATGGGGTATTCCAGGTGATCCCTGTGGCCACCTGAGACCACCCACCCTCCCACTCCGTAGGAGGAGACTGAGAAGGACACCCAGGGACCTCGTGCCCGAACTGACTCCTGGGTGGGCTTCTGGCCACGGGGACAGCCCGAGGCCAGCTGGGCTGCAGAGGAGCAGTCACCGGGCTCGGGACAGGAAGGGTCCCAAGCAGAGGGTGAGGGGAGCAGCCTGGCTGGAGAGGGGTAGAGGTGGCACATGGCCCAGGGCAGGGGACTCCCGGGGGGATGTGGGCCCCGACCTGGATGCGGGACCCAGCTCGGCCTGGCCTGGTAGCACTCAGGGAGTCGGGGCTGCCCAGAGGGCAGTAGGCGAGGACAGTGTGTCAGCGTGAGGTGTGCCCTGGAGTCGGGGAGAGGGCGAGCAGTGGCCGGTGCTCGCCGTGCGCCCAGCCTGCGTGCCGCGGTGCCGGCCCCCGGCCCAGTGACAGTCGCTGTGCTGGGCATTTGGGAGGCTTGAGACAGAGCATTTGTTCTTTCGTGGTTCAAGGCCAGTCCAGTCTAGGGTCACACTCTCTCTGAAGGCGCAGGGAGAGGCCCCGTCCCTGCCCCTGCCTCCTTCCTTGACCGTCCCTGGCTGCAGAGAAGGCACTGCGGTTTGGCTTCTGTCACACGGCTTCCTCCCGGGTCCTCCCCCATTGTCATGGTGGCACCTGTCACGGGATCGAGGACACACCTCACTCTAACTTGCTTCCTGTTTCCAGGAAGGTCCCTGCGTGCAACTGAGGGCCTAGAACTTGGCCGTGTCTTGGTGGTGGGCTTGGTCACGCCGTCATCATTAGCACTTTTCTCACGTCAGCTTCTGCAGAGCCCAGATGCATCTTGGGGTTGCAGAAAGGGAGGTTCAGAGACTGGGGGACCCGTCCAGGGTGATTCAGGGTGGTCCGAGAACTGGCTTTGGGTTGAGCTGTCTCACCTCCCAGCTGCTGCTGGCCACAGCTCGGCACCATTCCGCCTCGCAGGGCTGTGACTGGTGAGGGTGGGGGTGAAGGCGGAGGGGCTCTAGGGAGACCAGTGCAAGGTGCGTGTTGCTTGGGATTGCAGAGCGCCAGCCAGCCGCGCCTCTCCTACGCCGAGATGGCCGAGGATTACCCCCGCTTCCCTGACATCCACGACCTGGACCTCACACTGCTCAACCCACGCATGATTGTGGTGAGAAGGGCTGGCCTGCCTGTTTCCTTGCCCCCCGGTGCCGCTGGCGTCTCAGGCCGCCGGTGACTGGTGCTGTCTGTCCTGCAGGATGTCACCCCATACATGAACCCGTCACCCTTCACTGTCTCGCCCAACACCCACGTCTCCCAAGTCTTCAACCTGTTCAGAACGATGGGCCTGCGCCACCTGCCCGTGGTGAACGCCGTGGGGGAGGTGAGTGAGCCCTGGGGGGGAGGGGCCTGCAGTCCTCCCTGCACCCCACCCTGGGAGAGAGGATCCTCCAGCCACGGGCTCCGCCAGGCCCTTCTCAGACCAAAGCTGTAATAGCCGTGAAAACCTTGCCCCAGGGCAGCCAGCAGGTGGCGCCAGGCTCCCGTAGCCCAGGGGGTGACAAGAAGAGGTGCGGAAAGAGCTGGCCTCGTTGCAGGAGGAGGAGGAGGAATCAGGGCCCGGACAGGGCAGGGCCACTGCGGGGGCCCACGCAGGCCTCCCGCCCCGCCGCCCTCACAGAGATTCAGAACGTGTACGAGAGAACTCCAGGCAGGCTGCTTGTGTGGGACGTTTTAAAAGCCGCAGCACGTAGCAATTACGGCAGAGTTTCCTCTTCGTCCTGCTACACAAGTGCTGCTGCTTCACTGTAGGAAGAAAGGAAACACAGAGTAGAAAAGGAGACAGAAATCAGCCCTGCGCTGCCCGCACCCTGCAGAGGCGCCGCGCTCCGTCTCTGCGTCTTCAGACTGAGACTGTGTGTGTCAGGTTTTAGTGGAAACGGAATTGGTGTTCACACTGATCGTTGCCTGACTTTTCACGTCATCTGTAGGCAGCTCCAGGACAGAAAACATTTACCTGTGGTGTCATTTTATTATGTTTGCGTTTGTTTTCTTATTATTGGAGAGACAGGTGTACGGGGGAGAGAGAGCGCTCTAGGCACTGGTTTACTTCCCCATTGCCTACGGTGGCTGGGACTGGGCCAGACTGAAGCTGGGAACCAGGAATCCAGTCCAGGTTTCCCACCTGGGTGGCAGGGACCCAAACGCTCAGACCATCTCCTGCCGCCCCAGGGTCTGCTTTAGCAGGAGACAGACCAGAGCGGAGCTGGGACGCAGCCCAGGTGCCCCCGTGTGGGATGCAGGCAGCTGACCTGCCAGGCCCGCCTCCTGCCCCATGTGGCACTGTAGCGGCCCCGTCTCTTCCGTAGTGCCCTGGGTTGTCGGCTGGCTAATGAGGTTCCACCCCAGTGGCCTTGCCCTGTTGCCAGATGGCCCCCGGGAAGGGGAAGTGTAGCACATGAGCCCGGCACGGCACAGCGCATTCGCACACGGTGCGGCCGCCCGGGTTGAACGGCGTTCCCTCAGACCACACTGCCGTCCAACAGTGTACGGGGTGGCTGTGGGGTACCCACCCCCAGCGACAGCTGGAGCTGCCGTAAAGGATTGTGGGAGAAAAGCCTTCGGCGAGGGTTTCTGCAAGACGGTGGCTGTACGTGGGCCCGCGGGCTGCACATGTGGGGCCTGAGAGAGCGCCTGCCCCGGCCCCCGGTTTAACCCTCGTTACCTGTTCCGTCTTTTTCTCATCTGAAAACTCGGAAGCCTTCAGTGGGCGCCTTCCCATCCCGGCCGTGCCCTGTGCGGGCCCCGACCCCACGAGGCCGGTTCTTTGCGCCCCTGTCTCTGCCTGTTGCCCTGCGGCTGATGCGAGTCTTTCTCGTTGCCCTAGATCGTCGGGATTGTGACCCGGCACAACCTGACCTACGAATTCCTGCAGGCCCGACTGCGCCAGCACTACCAGAGCCTCTGAGAGCCCGGCCTCCCCGGGGCTGCCGGCGAGGCGGCGCGCTCACACTCCGGCTGGCACAGCTGGCCGGCTGCGGCTGTTCCTGGGCTACCGAAGATTCCCAGTCACTACCCACCCACTCCCCTGGAAAGCCTGGAGCTGTTGGATGCTTTGGTGGTCAGAGACCCTGGGGAGGGCGTTGACCCCTCAGAGTGTGGGCTTTTCTGCCGTCCCTGGGCACAGGCCCCCAGGTGGAAGCCAGCCTGGACCCGGCAGAGGGATCCTGCCCCAGGCTTGCTGCTCTCCCCGACGGCCGAGCCATGGCCTTGTCATTTGCTTTAGGCCGAGGCAAACATGGGGGGTACCAGTTGTAAAATTAATTTCCGAGTTTAGGAATCAGGCACTGAGAAAGTTCCCCACGTTTTGGGGGCCCTCCTTTGTGGGGGCTCCTCGTGCAGACTCCTCGCTGATGCTGAGAGCCCCGTCCTGCCCTGAGCCCTGAGCCCTGAGCCCTGAGCGGTCAGTCTGAGGCTGGGGTTGGGCTGACGCCCGCCCTCATTTTTAACACATCAGCTTTGTCCCCCGTGCAAGTCGCTCCCGGCCTCCCTGGAACGCGTGGCTGCCCTGAGCCCTCCCCAACCTTCACCTCGTGATGGACTTGGCCTTCCCAGGCTCCGCGTCCGTCTGCTGGGGAAGCGGCCCCATCTCCGCGCGTCCTGGCCTTGCCCCCGAGTCACCTGGAAGCAGGGCTCCCCGAGGTGAAAACGTCCCTCCCGAGCCGGGGCAGTAGCAGGTGTGTGTGGACACAGCGGAGGTTGGCTTTGAGGAAGGTCCCCAGGCGTCGTGCGCCCTCCTGCCGCTATCCATGCCCGACCTCCTGGGACAGACAGGGGGCGCTGTGCTGCCGGGAGCGCTTCCTGCAGCTCACGCCTACAGTGGAAGCGCTAACCCCAGGGACCCGTCTGTGAGGGCCGACGGTCTCCTGGCTGGTTGGCCGCGGAGTGAGCCCCGGGGGCCCGGGCATTTGCACTTGCCATCCTCTGACTGCTGCACGGTCGGCGTCCTTGAGCCATGCAGCTGCCCTGTGGCTGGGCTGCTTTGGGATCCAAGATGGCGCCTGCCTGCATTGAGACTGCCTAACTGTGGAAGCCACCAGAGGGCACTGGAGCCTGAGCCTGCCCCCGCCCTGAAGTTCACTTCCGAGATGGCTGTGCAGCCTGCGGTGGGGCCGGCGGCGCTGCCCCAGGGCTGTTCCACCCGCTCGCCGCTGGGTACCACTGCTTCAGGACCATGTGCTGACCGCGGCTCCCTCCACCCCCCGTGTCCTTACCCCTTTGACCAAGTTTGAGTTCCTGCATGCACCTGCCTTGTGAAGTAGAGTGACATTTCAGGAAGTCACCAGGACCAAAAAGGCCAGCCCTGTCCAAAGTGATGGGGTTCAGCCAGCTGCCGCTTTATTGTAGGGTGGCTGGACCATTGTTTCTTCCTTTTATCAAGAGGGGAACCAGTTGCCCAAGTCAGGAGATTGGCAGGCCACCTGTCACAGAAGCCCCGCCCTTCCCCACCTGGGTGGGGTCCTGAGAGCTAGAGCAGCAGGAGCCCCGGCCTCAGGAGGGTTCATATCCCTGCCACGCCTGGAGGCTGTCTGGGCAGTGAGGGTGGAATGCGTCTCCCTCATGCACATTGTGTTGTGTTGAAGTCACCAGATACTCTGTTCCCGTGCATTTAATCCAGAGATTGACAGTGGAGTACACATGCCCCCCTCCTCCTCCAAACTGACCACGTGCGCACAGGGAGGCCCCCGGCCAGGCCTCGGCAGGCGCGTGGCTTCCTGTGCTCTTCCTCTCTGCCTGCCCTTCCCAGATAAGCCCAAAGAGGCCGGCTCCTCCCCGTAACAGTAACCACGTAGCTGAGCCTTGCTCCCTGGGTTTCTGCCCCGTGGAGAGCAGCGTTTCCTGCGTCTCACCCACTACCAGCCCTGCCGCCAGGCACTCAGATGAAACCCTTCCACAGAGCGGGAGTCGGGTGGGCCCGAAGTGTTCGTCTCCAGCTTGGTGTCTCGTGGCTTCCTAGCCAAGGCAGTGTGGGGAGTGGGGCCAAAAGTCTGGTCCCCAGGCCCAGCTGGGACCTTTGCACTCTGGGGGTGATTCGCTCATGACCTTGTTCAGCTGACAGTTCCTGGATGAAGTGGACACTCGCTTGGCCCAGGCGGCCGGTGACCAGAGAGTTTTCCCCGAGCCCGCGCTGCGCCGGGGCTCGCGGCCCCCTCCGCGCAGTGTCGCCCCTCGTGCCTGTGCACCTTGGCCGTGTCAGCATCGCAGCTTCTGTCTCTCTGTTTGCACTGTCTGTGTGCAGTGACGTTGCTAATCCCACTGTGTATATAAATGGTATTGTCCGGTTTTGTTTGTTTTTAATTTGTAAAGTCTTATTTTTATGTGAACTCCTGGCACCTGGAAGTTCTTGTGACGACCGTACCGCGTCAGAATAAAACGTCTGCCTCTGTCTCCTTTGCCCCTGGTCTCCACTGCGCCCTGGTTTCTAGTTCCCTCCCTGCCTTTCTACTGCGTACAACCTGCCATGCCGTGCCGGGAGGTGACGTGGTCAGGTTTCTCCGTACGCAGCTTCCCAGGAAAGACCCGGGCTCCTGCCTTAAGCCGTGAAGTCGCAGGTTTTCAGTTCCGTGAGTGTTACAGTGTGACTGTAAATGCTCTAGTTCCTGCTCGGTTCACGTCTTCACAATAGCCGTTCTGAACGTGGGACGAGAGGACACAGTGGTTTCACTGATGATGGACCCAGTCCCGTGGTTGTTGATGACCTCAAGTGGTCGCTGCTGTCCTGTTTGTCCCTTCAAGTGTACACTGACCCATCTTGTCTACCAGTCCCTTCCTCTTGTAAAAACCGCCACTTTTCCCCAGAGCAATACGTGGAGGGTCCGTTGGAACAGTGTGGTGGTCAGGAGCTGGCCTCACAGAGTCCCCCCACAGCCAGAAGCAGGGAAGTGGGGCAGCGTCTGTGACACAAGACCGCGTGGCCGGCGCTGTCAGTGAGATGACTTCGCCTCTTACCTGCTTCAAGTTGCCCCTCCGCCCCGTCAGTTCACGTGTCCCCTGCCCCACTGATTTCCAGGGCGTTTTCTGCCTGTGTGTTCACTCAGTGAAGACCCTGTTCTGGTGACCCCTGGGCGTGTGCGCCACTCGGCACTCTTCCCTCCTGGCCCCAGATCCCAGCGCCACGTTGGGACAGATGCCTTTTCCTGTCTCTTCCCCTGGTCCTTGTTCATCACTCTGCTTGGTTTCCTGCCCTTCTGTGTTTGAAGTCCAGGTAAGGAAGCAGCCAGTCCACCTCCACCGCCCAGCAGCCATTCATTTCTGGTCTCCCCTGCCCTCTCCAGGAGCACATTGCTACTTTTTGTTCCTCTTTTTCCAATTTCTGTGCAAGATCAAGAGGCTCAACCACACATTGAAGGAGCATGACCTGCCATGGGAGTGCTGAAGAGGCACTGACCCTGGGGATGAGGGCTTGCAGGCTGGGGACACAGGCACCTGTCCACATCCGGGACAGGTGGTGCTGGAGTAGTCACATACAGATGTGCCCAGAAGAGTAACTTTCAGTGGGGGGTTTGGTATCAACAAGGGAGGAAGTGGCTTTCACCATGAGCCTTGACATGTCCTTGGGAGGATTGGGTGCTGGTTGTTCGAGGGAGAAGGGACAGGGAGTGAGGGCACAGCGAGGCAAGCAGGGAGGTATGTCAGGGACTCTGGCGTGGAGGGAAGTGTGGGGGCCATGGCTGGGAAAGCAGGTTAGAGGGCTCCTGGTTGAAGGTGAGCCTGGCATCTGGGATTGTCTGGTTGGGACAACACATTTCAGAAGCAGAAACAAAAGCCTGCATCTTCTCCGGCTGCTCTCACCTCCGTGCCATCGAGCCCAGGCTGCTTGGCTGGATCTGGGCGAGGTGTCCACTTTTCAAATGCGAGTGTTAGTACACAAAAGCCTCAGCAACTTGTCAACGCAGCAAACCTGTGTTCCTGTTTGCTCACGGCTGAGACCCGAGGCCTGCCCGCTCTCACTGCAGCTACCAGTGTCGCTCACTCAGCGCCAACAACTCACTCTTTACAAATGGATTGGGGTGGGAGAGAAAACGGTGCTGTGGCATAGCAGGTAAAACCACCACCTGCCGTGCCCATGTGGGCACCGGTTTGAGTCCTGGCCATTCCACTTTCAATCCAGCTCTCTGTTATGGCCTGGGAATGCAGTAGAAGAGGCCTAAGTCCTTGGACCCCTGCACTCATGTGGGAGACCAGAGGAAGCTCCTGGCTCCTGGCTTTGGATCAGCTCAATTCCAACTATTGTGGCTATTTGGGGAGTGAACCAGTGGATGGAGGACTTTTCTCTCTCTGCCTCTGCCTCTCTGTAATTCTGCCTTTCAAATAAATAAATAGGGGCCAGCACCGCAGCTCAATAGGCTAATCCTCCGCCTTGAGGCTCTGGCACCCCGGGTTTTAGTCCTGGTCGGGGCACCGGATTCTGTCCCGGTTGCTCCTCTTCCAGGTCAGCTCTCTGCTATGGCCCGGGAGTGCAGTGGAGGATGGACCAAGTCCTTGGCCCTGCACCATGGGAGACCGGGGAAGCACCTGGCTCCTGCCTTTGGATCAGTGCAGTGCGCCGGCCGCAGCACGCCAGCCACAACAGCCATTGGAGGGTGAACCAACGGCAAAAGGAAGACCTTTCTCTCTCTCTCTCTTTCACTGTCCACTCTGCCTGTCAAAAAAAATAATAAATAAATAAATAAATAAATATTTTTTTAAAAAATGGATCAAAACATCTAGTCCATATTCTCATTGGCTAAATGTGCCCTAAAACACTGTAACCAAAAACAGTAGGAGTGGAAGAAAGTCCAGGTGTTTATTTCCAACACGTAAGTGCCCTAAATGTTAGCAAATCTGAAAATAAATGCCCTTTCGGTCTCCTGGGGCTTTTTCAGGATCTGCGACTGAGGCTGGAGTAAAAAGTAAAGCAGGTGCCCCACCCTGTGCAGGAAAGGGAGAAAAGAGAGAAGCAGCATTCTTTTTCCTCTGACAAAAGGTAAAGAAATAGTGGCACTTTCAGCTCTGATTTTAGAGTATTAATATTCTAATGCATGAGTGAAAATGTCCAATACTACATGGTTACTAGTAGTTTTATATATTCACTTATTAATAATGAACCAATAGACCTGAGCCAATGGCTTGAATTTATTGTTTAGATTATTTTTCATTTTCTAATTAAAGATTATTTTACTTCGATTGAAAATAGGAAGTAGAAGATAAACCGGGCAACCACAAGACATTCAAACTGTCAGGGCATAATAATGTGCCCCCTCTAACCTCATCAGTCCCCTTGCATGTTTAAAAATAAAAGGCACAAATCAAGCAAAAAAAAGAAAAGGAAACCACAATCCAAGTCATGGCCGCTGTCCGTGGTGCTGAAGTTTATTCATTTTTTTCCAATCGACTCTCAGTAACACGTGAGGATCTACACTAAGTGTTAATGCTTTGGGTGAGAGAGGAGAAGTCACAGTTTGACTGCTTTACAGGTAGCAAAGTGTGAGAAATGTTGACAAGAAGCTGCAGCTCAGATAAGGTGCAGTAACGACTCGATGCAATGAGATGAGACAAAGTGACTTGAGAGACGCAGGAGGAGGAGGGTTCCTGCAGTGGGCCGAGGGCACCTGGCCGCCTTTCTTCCCTGGCTGTTATCTTCGGTACTACAAAGTGAACACAAACACATTCGGCTTGCTGGCCTGACTGTACCAGAACAGTCAGCTTCCCATGACTGTGCCAAACCTCCTGACAAAGCTTCCCCACTAGTCTCCACTCCAGCCTGATGATGCCCTGGGTTTCATAAACCGGTAAACTAGTTACTCATCAGAGCTAGTAATGGCATTCCTTGTCAATTTCACTATTCTCATTCAGAATCTCGCAATTCTTGGCAAGAACATGTACCATCAATTAGCTATGCAAAGATGATGGGCCCTGTGAATGCTAGACTCTCCCAAAGTGACAGCCATTTCCTTCCTCCCTCCCTTCCTCCCTCCATCCCATCCTTCCTTCCTTCTTTTCTTTTCTTCTCTTTTTTCTTAGCATTTTTGCACCAGGATGTAGCCGAGGATGATAGCATTGTCCTGAGACTCGCACCCCCCAAGTTAGGTCAGAAATCTCAGAACAAACAAGCTTCTACACAGGTCCCTTCTTGATGAAGGTGCTCCTGTGAGGATTCTTTGATGAAGTTTGAACCCCTGCAAACCAACGGTTTCCTTCCTCCCCACCCATTTCCACCCCCAGTGCCTCTTACCCGGAAGCTGTTGCAGCCCAGACCACTCTGGGCTCCAATCCTGTCAATCCTGCCCCCAAAGCAGCTGGACCTCCGCAGGCTCCGAGGGGCAGTGAGCAGTGCCCTCAGCTTGCTTTTCAGGAGAGCAGATCTCTCAGAGGCCTCCCAGGGGCTTCTCCCAAGGGCTCCCCCATCTCTCTGGGCTGGACTGACCTCCCCTGTCCAGGGAGGGACCTCAGGAAGGGGGCTGAGAGCTGCCCCAGCTTCATCACTCTGCTCACTTAGTGCTTGAGGGGGCACAGCTTCATCTTCAAAAGGCATCCTGTCCTCCAAGTGATCCAGCAAATTCTTTACCAAAGGAAAACACAAGGAAAAGGAGAGTGCTCACTGACTTGGGCAAATCGAGAGGAACGGGCGAGTATCTAAAAGCGCCCCGGCCCCAGACTGTGCCCCCCTTCCTGGCCCTACCTTGAAGTCCGTCAGATCTGCGTTGGACATGGCGTTGTACACTGGGTTAGCTCCAATTTGATCTGGATGCCAGAATGCCAGACAGAAGAGGAAGCTCACGGTGATGGTGGAGAAGGGGCCCATGCTGGTGCTGGTTGGGGGTGATGTGCCGTTAGCTGCTTCTTCCTTCCTCTCGGTTCCCCCTGGGTCTTTGTCCGTCACTGTCTTCCAGCTGCCCAGTGCAGCCTCCTTTTATAGCCCCTTGGCTCTCCGAGAGCACAAGAGGAGTGGAACCCTCCCCATTCTGTCACTTGCAGAGATAAAGCAGCTGAGTGAGGAGCCCACAGAAGATGCCCTTTTAAAGTTATCAGCCAGCAGAGCTTGTCACAGCCCCTCTGCCTTGAGCAGCCCCCGCCGCCCCCCGGACCCTCAGCTGCAAGAGCCACATTCTTGTTGATTTGCCTCAAGAGGCTCCCACTTCAAAGGTGTGAGAGGAGCAAAAAAGAGTCCTTGGTTATCTCCCTGCCATGCCTCAGGATTCTTTCTCCTGGGCAACGGGACCCACGCGGGGAAGCAGAGGGGCCACTTGGCCCAAGCCCAGTTCAACCGGTTTGTTTGCAGCTCAGCTGTCAGGGGCTCCAAATAAGGGTGGGAGAGGAGGAAGCGGGCGGGCAGCAGGACGAGGGAGTCCAGATGCCCGGGCTGGCTTCATACCTGACTCATCAGCCAGGCGGCCGGCTGGCCCCAGACAGGCCGCCCTCACCCTGGCCAGCCCTCTCAGCGGCCAGGGGAAAGAAGTTATTTTTTATAGCCTTAAGTCAGCCAGGACACAAATGTGATGAATGTCCCAAGAATTCAGCCGCTAAATATAAATACCAAGGAAACCTGGGGGAGCAGGATCGTCCCTCCCCAAGTCTCCTCCTTGCGGGTGGGCCCTGAAGATGCTGCCGCGTTCACATCTCTGCCTCACTGAGTGGGGAAACCCTGCCTCCTTCCTTCAACTCCAGCCTGGGATTGGCCCCTGTGTTCCCAGGGAAGCATCCTCGGGAAGTTGGCTAACGGAGGGAGGGTGTGGGGGCAAGAATGGCACTGATCCCTGCCGTCTTTCACGTCTTCCTCTGAGACCAGGCCAAGTACTGAGCCATGAGCACCCCAGAAGCATCGGGCAGCAAGGCTCTCCACACTTAGCAAGCAGCCTCCATTTGCTGAAGTCAAGGTTAGCATCCCATCCAATATGACGTACACTTGGGCTGAGGGCTTCAGAGACTCATAGCCCCAAGTGAACCATCTCCAGGGCTTTATTTTCGTTATCTGCTAAATGAGGTTACAAGGTCGACACCTGCCCTGCCTGCCTGATTCTCAGGGGCTCAAATGAGCCAAGATTGTGCAAACACTCTCCCAGGCGTGCACCGCTGTGTAACTGCGGCCGTGACCTCTGGTGCCTGTATCGGTGACTTGGAATGTGCCAGGCGTGTGCCGAGAGCTTCATTTTCATCGCCACCTCTAGGAGGCGGGCACTGACCCTTCACGCGCTCTGCTGCCCCTTTGCCCATTGGATGCATCCCTAATTAGACACACCCCATCCCTACCCTCAGATGCCTCTGAGCAGCCCCCTCCCCACCTGCCCGGGGGCTGTAGCTTGACCAGGCTGGTGGTTTTGGCTACTCTCTCATACTGTCCCAAGAAAAGGGCTGACAGTCACCATGGCCCATTTCCACAGCTCACGTGTTGCAGTCTGCTCCTTGGAAGCATGGGAAGTGGGTGTTGAATGACCAACTCTGCCCTGGCCAGACCCATCCCCAGCTGTGCTGACCCCTTGCTTGAACAGTAGGAGAGGCCGTTAAAGGCAGGAAGTCAGAGCCATCAAGTGGCCAGAGACCACAAGAGGTGTCCAAGATGACGTTATTCTTTACATATACGTAAAGGTCATTTGCCTTTTAAAAAATTATTTTGGGGGTTGGTGTTATTGCTGGTTGAGCCACTGCCTTTGACTCCAGCTTCCCACAGGGGCTCCAGTTCAAGTCCTAGGTGCTCCGCTTCTGATCCAGCTTCCTGCTAATGTGCCTGGAAAGCAGCAGAAGATGGCATAAGTACTTGGGTCCCTGCTACCCACATAGGAGACCCAGATGGGGTTCCAGGTCCCTGGCTTCAGCCTGACCCCATTCCAACTGCTGGAGCCATTTCAGGAGTGGACCAGCAGATAGAGGATCTCGCTCTCTCTCTCTCTCTCTCTTTGCCTCATCTGCTCTCTCTCTCTGTAACTCTGCCTTTTAAATAAATAAGTATTTTAAAAAGGAAATAGCCAATCGTAATAAAAAGGAGGAATATTTGCAAGATAAAGAAATATTCTCAGTGTAATATTTTTTTTCTTTCCTTTTTTTTTTTTTTGTTTGTTTGTTTGACAGGCAGAGTGGACAATGAGAGAGAGAGACAGAGAGAAAGGTCTTCCTTTGCCGTTGGTTCACCCTCCAAGGGCCGCTGCGGCCGGCGCGCTGATCCAAAGCCAGGAGCCAGGTTCTTCTCCTGGTCTCCCATGGGGTGCAGGGCCCAAGCACTTGGGCCATCCTCCACTGCACTCCCGGGCCACAGCAGAGAGCTGGCCTGGAAGAGGAGCAACCGGAACAGAATCCGGGGCCCCGACCGGGACTAGAACCCGGGATGCTGGTGCCGCAGGTGGAGGATTAGCCTAGTGAGCCGCGGCGCTGGCCCGGTGTAATATTTTTTTAAAGATTTATCTACTCATTTGAAAGATAAAGTTACAGACAGGCAGAGGCAGAGGCAGAGAGATCTTCCATCTGCTTGTTCACTCCCCAAATGTCCACAAAGGCCAGAGCTGGGCTGATCTGAAGCCAGGAGCCAGGAGCTTCTTCAAAGTCTCCCACATGGGTGCAGGGGTCCAAGCACTTGGGCCATCTTCTACTGCTTTTCCAGGCCACAGCAGAGAGCTGGATCGGAAATGGAGCAGCCGGGTCTCAAACTGGGGCCCATATGGGATGCCAGCACTGCAGGTGGTGGCTTTACTTGCTACGCCACAGTGCCGGCCCCCGGTGTAATATTTCTAATAAATTTATTGTGTTTTCCATTTTTAAATTTTTATTTGAAAGACAGGGACAGATCGTCTGCTGGTTCACTCCTCAAATCCCTGGAACAGGGCGAGGATCCTGGCACGCAGGGCCCCCATGTGGGTGGCGGGGACCCAAGTACTTGAGGCATCACCTGTGCCTCCCGGGGGCACAGGAAGCTGGATTCTGGATTCAGAAGCAGAGCCGAGACTTGAGCCCAGGCTTGCTTTTCTTTCTTTCTTTCTTTCTTCCTTTCTTCCTTTCTTTTTTTACAGGCAGAGTTAGACAGTGAGAGAGACAGAGAGAAAGGTTTTCCTTTTCCATTGGCTCACCCCACAAATGGCTGCTATGGCTGATGCACTGCGGCCGGCGCTTCGCTAATCCAAAGCCAGGAGCCAGGAGCTTCTCCTGGTCTCCCATGGGGTGCAGGGCCCAAGCACCTGGGCCATCCTCCACTGCACTCCCAGGCCACAGCAGAGAGCTGGCCTGGAAGAGGGGCCACCGGGACAGAATCTGGCACTCCAACCGGGACTAGAACCCGGGGTGCTGGTGCCGCAGGTGAAGGATTAGCCAGGTGAGCCGTGGTGCCAGCTAAGAGCCCAGGCTTTCTGACGTGGGATGCAAGCGTCCCTGGTGGCGTCTTGCCACTGGGCCAAATGCCCTCCCCTCAGGATGACACTATTCTCAGACAAAAGGAGGAGGGTCCGTCTTTAGCAAGCTTGGGGCTGGGGCTGGGAGTTGAGTCAGACAACCCCAAGTTGACGTCTGCAATGGGTGCAGGTCTAAGTCGGAGCTCTGGGGGCAAAGCGCCACGTCTCTGGAATGTGCTCACGGCTTAATTGCTCCTCGGCAGGGATATTATTAGCAAAGAAGAGTCAGCAAGCAGCCCCCAGGGGCTCGTGCTCTCGCTGCCTGCGTCACACGGCCGCCTCCTGGAGATGCCCTTGGAAACCGGCCTTTGATGCCAGCGGAGGCTTCCGGAGCAGCAGGCTGGCAGATGGCCTCTGCGGGAGGGCGCAGCCCCTCTGCCCTGAGCCACCTCTGAAGTTGACAGTTGGCCCAAGGAGAGGTGGACGTCCCATCCAAGTTTCCGGAGAGAGGATCTCTGAACACGCCCACCTTTTTTTTTTATTAAAGGCACCTTTCTCCATCCAGGGTGACACTGAAGTGGGAGGGTGTGTGTGTGTGTGTCATTCATTGAGTTTCTTCTATTAACCAGATTGTTTTGGGGGGAGGGGCAAGAAAGAAAGGCAGCCCCCATGCTGCCTGGGGGCTGTGCATGGTGCATGGAGCTGGCATCACCTCCTGCCCAACAGGGCCCTGCGACAAGGGACAATCATCAAAGGCACTTATCCCCCCACCCCGTCCTCATCAAAGCTTTTGATCTGTGGGACCAGTGTGGTAGCCTAGCAGGTAAAGCCACTGCCTGCTATGCTGGCATCCCATATGGGCACCGGTTCAAGTCCTGGCTGCTCCACTTCTGATCCATCTCTCTGCTATGGCGTGGGAAAAGCAGCAGAAGATGGCCCAAGTGCTTGGGCCCCTGCTACCCTCATGGGAGTCCTGGGTGAGGCTCCTGGCTCCGGCCTGGCCCAGCTCTGCCTATTGTGGCCATCTGGCAAGTGAACCAACTCATAGAAGCGCTCCCTCTCTCTCTCTCTCTCTCTCTCTCGCTCTCACTCTCTCTCTGTAACTCTGACTTTAAATAAATAAATCTTCAAAACAAAACAGAGCCTTTGATTTGAGCCTGGCACAGAGCAGCTTGATGGAAAATCTCTCTTCCTTCCCGGGCTGCTGCTCCAGTCTGGAGGGGGCCGTGGGGGAGCCAGTGTGCGATGGGGTGCTAGGAGGTCAGCCTGCAGGAGCGAGAGGAGGAGAAAAGCAACGGACCCCACCCCACACCCGCCTCTCCCACAGGCTGGGAATTCGGAGCCTTCACGCCCTCATCCCTGGCGAGAAGCCGTCTCTGTCACACCCATGGTGCAGGAGCCTCCTGGTGGGAGAGCGTAGATTTGGGCGTCTGCTGCTTCCACCCCGGGGCTGTCGCGGGCCCTGCAGAGTCCCAGCACAGCTGCAGTGTGCAGAACCCATCAGCCCCGAGGGGTCGGAAGCAGAGGCTCCACCCGGGAGACACCGGTGGGACACAGCTGCTTCTGGCTTTGCAA